ATTCCAAGTAGAAGGCAAGGAAATACCCATATGGCCTCCTTGAATTGGCGATACAAAGGATTGTTCTGAGGAACAAAAGGTGATTCTTCCTTAAGCGTCGCAATTTTATCCTCCAAAAGTTTGCCAAAATCAGTAGGCTGCAGATTACCAGATCAGAAGCAAAGAGCTTTACTCCCAAAGATAATTATAAAATTAGAACGAAGATAATTCACCTTCTGTGATTGGAATATACCTGACCTGAAGGCTGGTAATTATTACCAACACCTCTGATTGCCTCTGACAAGTTGGTGCAGTCATCGCAGGACTCCAGCAACTCAAGGACAGTATTCTCCAACTCCTTTACCTGAATCAGCTCATATAAACAAAGGAATTTACGATCAAACCTCAAGTCAACTAGTAAGTGTGAATAAATGATAAATCATTCACCTTGTCCGACCGTTGCGCCTTCTCCAGATCGACCGCAATCCCTTTGATTATACCAAAGGATTTCCGGATTTCCTAGAGAGAAAGCATGAAGGGACAACGATATAGTGCCGAATAATACTCCGCCAGGTTAGATTATAAATAAGGAAATGTATTCGTGTTTCAGGATTTGGAGATGAGATTCAGAGGGCTAGGGCTTTACCGCTATTAGGGTTTGGCTATCAGAAGAGAGGTTGGAAGCCGCGGTTGCGATTCTCGACGCTGCAGAACTTAGCGAGGATCGGGGAGCGGAGGTTGACGCCATCGCCGTGGACTTCCCCCTGGACGGCCTCGAGCAGGTGATGGAGGGAAACTTGAAAATTGAATCTTTACTAAAGATTTAACTCAGACAGTGAGACCATCACGCCGGTGGCAATTCGATCAGAAGTAGCAGTTTTTTATACCGCTTCAGCCTACTATTATGGTCTTTTTGGAAAATTATTATAAGAAAAAAACTTTTTTTAATTATTACAGTTTTTTTTATAAGAATTAAATTTGAGCAATACTTAACTTAATAGATCCGATAATAAATAATAACTTTTTGTCTTAAAAGTTTTTAAAACTAACAAGAAAATATTTCTATAATATAAATGTTAGCATTTCGATGGTTCGATCAGGATCAAATAGAATGACGTAATAAATACTTATTTTATTTAAATATGATAATAGTGATATAATTATTTGTTAATATGTAATAAAAATTTGAACATAATCATGATTTTAAAATTTCAAAAAAAAAAAATCATTATTTAAACCTACTTGCCATCTCCTAATCTTATCACCTACTAAAATCCACTCAAATCTCTGTCAATTCTGACGCCTCCCTATCCAATACTATTAATATTTTTTTTCAGTCGCCCATTTGAGTAAACAAAAATCTCCATTTACAATCACTACAAAACTATCATTCTGTCCCACCAAATTCCTACTCCCTTCCTCTCATACCTCTCAAACTCATCGTTGCAAACATACACCTATTATATCGATCAGATATAACATCAATGGCAAGCACACTGCCTGATATTCTGAAACTCGCATCGATTTTCCTGTTTGGATGTCGAATCAGTGGTTCAAACGGTTCAATCCAGGTTCTTTGCAAAATCGGTTATTGAATAAATTGAAACCGATTGGCCGACCGGTTCACGTTTCAATTGGTGAACTGGTCGATTCAATCCGATTTTCAAAGACTTGCTAAAAAAACAAAATAGTCAAGCCTAAATAAATCTTAAGTCAATATTTGAGCAAAATAATTTTTTTTTTTTGGTCCAAAATTCATAGGAGTATAAGGTTGTTTGTCCTACACAGACCACCTAATTCTATTGATTAAGAGTTTTTGCTATCAACCAAAAGGTATTGATTCGAGTCTTACACATGCGATGTATATATGAGTTTGTATTAACTGACCTAAATGTCCAAAAACAAAGGTTATTTGGCCTTCGAGTTAGGGCTAGGGCCTTGCTAGCCCCTTCCTTGACACAAATACATCAACCATTTACTTCCAATAATTATAATTATCATAATTAAATTTGTGAGGCATCTTTAAAATAATTTATTTTTTAAACAAACTCTTTAGGTGAACCCTCATTTCTTATGCTTACATGACCTTATCAGTTATCAATTTAATATTTATTTCAACTGGCAAATTATTTATTTTTATTACATGCAATAATGATGATTCTAAAATATAACTTATATAAAAATATAACAATTTAACTCAGAGTGTGAGACCATCACGCCGGTGGCAATTCGATCAGAAGTAGCAGTTTTTTATACCGCTTCAGCCTACTATTATGGTCTTTTTGGAAAATTATTATAAGAAAAAAACTTTTTTTAATTATTACAGTTTTTTTTTATAAGGATTAAATTTGAGCAATACTTAACTTAATAGATCCGATAATAAATAATAATTTTTTGTCTTAAAAGTTTTTAAAACTAACAAGAAAATATTTATATAATATAAATGTTAGCATTTCGATGGTTCAACCGGGGTCAAATAGGATAACGTAATAAATACTTATTATATTTAAATATGCTAATAGTGATATAATTATTTGTTAATATATAATAAAATTTTGAACATAATCATAATTTAGAAATTCAAAAAATCATTATTTAAACAGACATCTATTATCGATCAGATATAACATCAATGACTCAAAACACACTGCCCGATTTTATGAAACTGGTACTGATTTTCCTATTTGGATGTCGAACTAGTGGTTCAAATGGTTCAATCCAAGTTCTTTGCAAAATCGGTAATTGAATAAATTGAAACCGATTGGCCGACCGGTTCACGTTTCAATCGGTGAACTGGTCGGTTCAATCCGATTTTCAAAGACTTGTTAAAAACAAAATAGTCAAGCCTAAATAAATCTTAAGTCAATATTTGAGCAAAATATTTTTTTTTTTGTCCAAAATTCATAGGAGTATAAGGTTGTTTGTCCTACACATACCACCTAATTCTATTAATTAAGAGTTTTTGCTATCAACCAAAAGGTATTGATTCGAGTCTTACACATACGATGTATATATGAGTTTGTATTAACTGACCTAAATGTCCAAAAACAAAGGTTATTTGGCCTTGGAGTTAGGGCTAGGGCCTTGCTTGCCCCTTGCTTGACACAAATACATCAACCATTAACTTCTAATAATTATAATTATCATAATTAAATTTGTCAGGCATCTTTAAAATAATTTATTTTTTTAAAGAAACTCGTTAGGTGAGCCCTCCTTTCCTATGCTTACATGACCTTATCAGTTATCAATTTAATATTTATTTCAACTGGCAAATTATTTATTTTTATTACATGCAATAATGATGATTCTAATATATAACTTATATAAAAATATAACAATATATGAACAATGCACATTTTGTGACTATTAATTAGAGTTTCTAATATTCTTAAAGATATTATGCCTTAATAGCAATAATGTAGATTTAAAATAAAACTTGATATTTGAAGTAGAAGATATTTAAGCCAATAATATATATATTAATGCATGTATATTTTGTGTTGAAAAATATAATATTACATCGTCATATTATCTCATTAAAATTTTATCATAAATAATTTTTATGTTTGTTTGGGATAACTTTCTCACTACTTTCTAAAGCAATTTTTTTAGCATAAAAAATTTCTAGCTCATTCAAAAGGATGATGAGATAATTGGATGATATAAATAATTTTATAAAGCTGATAACTAATTATCATTGTTTGGAAGTATTGCCTTTGGAATGTTAGGGTTAGTTTGATAGTTTCTTATAAGATGATGGAAAAATATATTAGTATAGAGACATCCTTATAATTGTTTATCATCATAACCTTATGATTTTGATTTAAAAAAAAAAATAATCATTGACGAACAAAATCTATCATGCATTGTCCTCTATATGTATCAATCTACTAAAATTTTTTGTCCAATTCTTTAAATTATTTTGATAATTTGTTGCTTGTCATGATGATAATATAAACTTATTCGTGGTGTCTTCCTGTGTCATCGACACACTGATAATATATAGAGACGTTCAATCACTTAAATACAACTGACAAGGAGAGGACGAATTAAGAGGCAAGTGGGTCGACTCATCAAATTCTCATCGAAAGAAATAGAACAAATTATAGATGATTCAAACACTCAGAGGCAAAATACATTACTGTCTAAAGCATTAAAAAAAGGAAACTAAAAAACAAGTTAATTGACTTATCAACTAATCTAGTTTTAATCTACTCAATAATGATTTGTTGGTAGAATTAATGACCTGGAGACAACATGCATATGTTGTCCTTATCACATCCTATTAATGATGAAATAACATAAATGGAAGTAATAAATTAAGAGTTGGTAAGATAATTCAAAGAAGAGAACAAAATGAGATCTATTAACTTAAACTAATTAGCCAGGCTTAATTATATAGTAATTTACAATTAATTATCATTATGGGAGGGTGAGATGTCAGTAATCATATGGATTAAAATGGCTATTAGGTAAGCAATTAATGATTTAATTTCTTTTAATTAGCAATTGAATGAGCTAATTGCTGCATATGCATAGTTATAGCTTGAGCTTCCATTTAATAAATTGCTATTGTTAGTTAATTAGGACTTCTTCATCAACATAATTGAGGCTGGTTGGAGATAATTGAAAGTCATATGTCAACTGCCTTGCATGTGGCTTTTGTCAGCTTAGTTTCATTTATTATTTATTTATCTTTTGAAGTGATAGTGATTCATATGGAGTTTGCTTGATTTGCTGAAAAATGAAAGCCAAGTGAAATGAATATGTGGGTTTTGAAAATGTTCTAGTTCGTCTGATTTGATGAAAAAAGAATACGAAGTAATTTTTAGTGTATATGGAATTTACTCTTTAGTTTGTTTGTAATGTGTTTGAACTTCATCTAATTTGTATGAATTTCAAACATGCCACGCACGTGAAGTATCGCCTTCAGCAAATGGATTCTTGCGGCCAATTGTCGTCTTTCGCTACCCAGTAGTTGCGTCGCCTACCCACCAATTTCGACATGCTATCACACCATTATCGACCATCACCAACAACCACAATCTATTGGCCAGCCAAGCAGCCCATCATCCCACCTCCAACCACCACCACTTTTTCCTTCGTGCTCGGTTACTATAGTTATCGCTTTACACTTATTTCGTTATACTTTAAACCAAGCAATAAAATATTAGATTTTTTTTTTTTTTGGCGCTCAACTAAATAATTCTAAAATGTTTAAAATGCACTATATTTATTTTATATCGTATCCCTTTTGTTATCTTTTTATTTTCCAACAAATCAAATAGCCCCATAGTATTTAGCATTTGAATTTCATTATTTCTTATATTTAAGTTGATATAAGTAGTATAGTGAAAATTCTTGAGCCCTTCGTGCTCTTAAGCTCTCTCTGTCGTTGTAACTTGTTGATTGCTCTACATTAGTGCTATAAATAACATAACATAATATTTTTATAGATTCATTTTAATATGAAACTTATAAGTTCTCTTAAATACAATCTTAAGATCATTTACAAACTCATATTGAGATATGTTTTTTTGTGATACATAGAGTGTGAAAAGGGTGAAGTAGATTTTAGAAAATTCTATACCTTTTGGGGAGAATTACCCATTAATGAGCATACATAGGTGCAATCAGGAGGCCTCCAGTATATTGTTCATAAACAATCAAGTTGGCTCCTCGCAAATTTGCTTAGACAACCCAAGCTAGTTTGTCTAGCATGGGCTAGAATAACTCACCTTCTAGAATCATCCAAGCTCTACTTCAAGCAATATGGGCATCAACATTACAACACATCAAAGCTTCTTATCTCTTCACTAACATATCACCATGAATTTTATAGTTGTTGATTAGCTAAATTTTGTTATATTGAGCATCAAACCAATCCTTCTTATTAAAAAATGTTCTTATCCAAATATTATTGAATTAAATAAGTAGTGGGTGACAATTAGGCTACAGAGGAAACCATTTTTAATTTACAAATTACACATGCATGATATCAATATTTTTCTTCTTGATCCCACGACCAAGTTCATGAGTAACATGCTTGCAACCTTTCACAACATGTCAATCATATTTAATAAACAACAACACGACATGATAAAACCTTGCCCAACACTCCCTTTGTCCAGCTATTTTACAGAACTAAAGTCTTAAGAAGAAAATAAAGCTTATTTTAATGGAATTTGATGCCCGAATTATTATTATTTTAAATAAATTTAAATATAACGATTTTTTCGTTTATCCTAATACAAATTGTATCGGAATATCCTGACATAAATTTTCTCAAAAAACATTATGTTAGAATTTATCCTGACAAACTTCAAAGTTTTTGAATTTGCTTTGAAATTAGTGTTACATATAATATTTATGGATTGCACTTGTCTTAAAGTGAATCAAGATGGTTTGAAGGTCATTCATGTATAGAACTCGTCCAAATACATACTAAGGTTTCATTTCAGATGTCTTTCTTATTGCTTCTTAGATCAATTTTCTAGTACAAAAATTAGATTTTCGCACTAAAAAATTGCTTTAAGAAGCAATATGAAAGCAGTCCCAAACGAAGTCTAAGAGGCAAACGAGCAAAAAGAATGTAAGAAGACAAAACCACCCACACTGCTCATCTTGATTTGTTAGTTAGTAGCTTTTGTTACCAACCAAAAGATCTTAAGTTCGTAACTTACATATGTGATGTATGTATGAGCGTCACCGCCAAAAAAAAAAAAATTGAAAAATATCTAACAATGTTAAAGGGATTATATAAATATAAAAAAATTATTAAATATTTATGTGATGAATACTTAAATTTCTTAATTTATTTACATAGCACTCAAATCTCTAACAACAACAACATCAACGTAATTTTTTAAAGGATTCATGTCATGATAATTCAACAAGTTTTACGTTGGTTGTCGACTACCTAATGCAACACTCCTCTTTTTTCATCCAGGACTTGAGACCAGACAATAATAATGACAGAGTTAGAGATAATTTAGACTCAAATCTCTGAATTACATCAAAATTAATATTAATGTTAGTTTATTTAAATAAAATACTTTTTTAAGCATGTATTTTGATCTGACTTAGACACTAAAATCACATATTCATAAACATAAAGATTTAATTATAGATGTAAATAGATAAAACCTTTATGATATATATGTAAAGCTCTAAGAAATTATAATCAAATAAAATTATAATATTTGCCTAAAAATAAAATTTTGATGGAATATCATAATTTTTTTTTTTTAAGGATTGTATTATAAGGCAATACATATATGCCACTTCTATCCAGCTCATTCCAACTGGCAACTAAAGCCTTAAAATCCCCTCGCCCCTCAACTCCACACCTCCTACCTCACAAGTCACATCTCGATCCCATCCTCTTCTCCAACCATGGCCTCCTCCACCCATCTCTTCCTCCTCGCCGCCACCTTCTCCGCCATCATTGGCATCGCAGCTGCCGCAACCGCCGCCGCTCCGTCCGCCGCCGGCCTCAACAACCTCACTGATATTCTCACAAAGGGTGGTCAATATAACACATTCATTCGCCTTCTGAAATCCACACAAGTTGGACAGCAGATTCAGAGTCAGCTCAACAACTCCTTTAATGGACTGACGATCTTTGCTCCTACTGATAATGCCTTCAATAATCTGAAGGCTGGCACTCTCAATGGGCTGAGCGCTCAGGACCAAGTTAACCTTGTACTCTCCCATGTTCTGCCAAGGTAATCCATGGTGATTGTGGAGGAAAAGTTTTTTTAACACATCACTAGCTTTAAGATTACTGTATAAAATATGAAAAAGATGGTTAAAAACTTAAAATATGTTAGATTAACTTTTTTTTTTTATCACAATAAGTCTTAAGTTAACAAATTTCTTTAAAAAAAGGTTTTTTTTTCCTTCTAAAACAGGTATTACAGCCTGTCAACATTCCAGACGGCCAGCAACCCGGTGTCCACCCAGGCGTCGGGTCCCGGCGGCGTGTACACAGTCAACGTGTCGAGCACCACCAACCAAGTCAACGTGACCACCGGCGTCGTCGAAACTCAGGTCAACAACGCTCTGGACACCAACTTCCCCCTCGCCGTCTACTCCGTTGACAAGGTTCTCCTTCCCACCGAGCTCTTCGGACCAAAGCCGCCGGAGGCGGCACCAGTAGCGGTGGCGCCGTCGAAGTCTCCGGCTAAGGGAAGGCCCACGAAGGGCGACACAGCGGCGCAGTCAGTGGCGGAGGCGCCGGCGGATGCGGCGAGCCACCCGTCGTCGGCGGGCAGGCTGATGGCCGGAGCTGCGGTTGTGGGATTTTTTGGGATCGTGAGTATTTTGTGAGATTTTTTTTAGCATTTAGGGATTTCATTTGTAATTGTTGTCTTATTGCATGCCACGTGGCGTACGGTCCATGTGTCATGCGTTGGGTGAATACAGTGGTGGCTCCACTTGGTTTACTGTGGTGGTGGAGCCACTTGGTGCTTGTGATTATTATATTTATTTAGCGGCTTGGATTGTTTATTTGTTGGTATTGTTCTTCTATTTTGGTATATGAGAATATTTGGGGAGTAATATCATCTTCTTAAAGGGATTGAATAATTTGTTTCTTGGTAAAATTTCCTTTTGTGTCATTTGTTTTTTTATTATTATTTTAAAATTTAATTTGGGTCGACTTTATTATTTCTTCTTAAAATAACTTTTAAATGCAAAAAATAATACTATAAAAATGCTTTAAGAAATAATAAGAAAGTCGTCACAAACGAAATCTAAGTTATATTCCTTGTTGAAGTTCTTTAAGAATATTATAATTTATAAGCATACCACGGCTAATTACCCCTCCCAATCAAAGATTAAAAAAAAAGCCTCAACTAAGGTTTTGATTGGAACAACTTTTGACCAGTAGTATTTTAAATAAAACATCCTTTTATTATACAATTTTTTTTAAAAACAATGAAAAAACAGTGGCAAAAAACTATCTAAAACTACGAAAATTATTACGTGCGGCGTTCGGAGATGAATCCAGAAGCATCACGTCACCTAGGGCCCGATGCTCGATGTCATGCTTTTGCCACACATACCCTCTCTGCTTCTGCTCCTCTCATAAGTATCAAATAAATAGAATAACGACAAATATTTCAAAATTTGGGAGGAAAAAATACATTTTAGCAAGATTTAGACCAAATCCCAATTAAATATTGCAACATGCCATGAGTTATGATAGGGTTTCATCTCAATAAGCATAGGCTATTGTTTTGGGGAGAAATTATTTTGTGTGGAGACCGAACGCAGAATGTTGTCCAAAGACCAATAAGAATGCACTACATCAACGGTACCAAGTGACGGTACCAAGCCACGATATCGAGCGGCAGTACTGAGCAATGGGGTGACGTGACACATTCTGATTGGTCTCCAGACGACATCCGGCATCTGCACAAAATAATTAACCCTTTTTTTTTTTGGGTTTCATTATAATTGCACAAGTAATGCATTCTGTTATGTTTTTTTTTTTTTTTTTGGGAGAAGTATAGGGCATAGCTCAATTTTCATTAACTATAAAAAGAGATTACCATGAATGCAAAGAAAAACACAGCCGAACACGATGTAAAACACAACTATAAGGTTAAAACCAAAAAGCAATGCTCACTGAAAAGAGCAAGAAAAGAAAGAAATTAATTGAAAATTAAACATAACTACAACTACAAAGTTGACTCAAAATGAGCAAAAATAGATTGGTGGAACACAAAATTCAGTTACACCCTAGTTGTCTAGATTATTATCTCCATTATGAGAAATTATTATTTACAGAGACTGGACGGCAAGAACCGTCCGAATTTGCTGTGTTTTAGTTCTCCTGTTGCTACACTTTTGCAAACACTAATCAAAATGACAGCCAATATGCAATCATTGATAAGTACTTGCAAAAGCGGAGCAAAAGGGATACTAAAGCGCAACAAATATCATACTAATTGAATATTTGTTGATCTTTTACTACGCTTTTGCAAATACTCAACAAAATGTCAGCAAAAGGGCATTCATAATTGCATATTTGCTTTCCCTTTATTAAATATTTGCAAAATCAGACTAAAAAGATAGCTAAATGACAACAAATCTGAACGGTTCTCATTGTTCTGTCTCCCCCCCACAAGGTAATAGCCATGCACTCCAAGGGGTAAAAACTGACAAAACATTTCCAATAATTGGAGACATTCATCATTTTCCAGCAAAATCTGACAAAAAAAACCCCATGTAGCGTCCGAACATGATAAAAAGCCTTAGAAGTAGCAAAAAGAAACTGGCAGCCGAACCATGTGAGACCCATAAACTAAAATATTGCAGATCAAGAGGCCCAGAAGACCAAAAAAAGACAAGGCTATTTAAAGTAATAAGTGTAAGAAGTCCTAATTTTTCCAATTGAAAGTTTTGGCGCAAACAGCCGTTTTAATAAGAAGAGAAATAGTAGATGAGTTGTTATGATGAGAGCCAAAACAATAAAAGTTTTATATAAAAGATAAATTTAAAGCAAAAAAAAAAAAAACGTATGATTGATAAATTTAAAAAATAATTATAATTTTTTAAATCTTTTGGCACCAGCTCTGCAAATGCCTTCCACCATGCTTGAGATCATTGCATCACTATATAAACTAAATTATTCAATGTTTATAAAAAAATAAAAATATATTTTTATATATCAAATATACTTTATTTTCAGCCAAAATATAAATAAAATAAAATAAACAAAAATTAAAAAATTCAAATGTCTTCTTATAGACGAACTAAATATGGTTACTTAGGTAAAAATAATAAGCTCCTATGATTTGAGGTTGTGTCGACTACACTAAGAGATGTCGTAAGTCAAAAGTTTATGATGATTGTCATAGGGGTGTCAATATTTGACACGACACGAAAACCTTACTGAAAAATATGGGTTGGACCGACCCGTTTAAAAAACAGGTCGGGTTCGGGTTCCCAAATTTGACTCGTTTGAAAAAATGTGTCGGGTTCGGGTTGACCTAATGGGTTGGCGGGTCAACCCGGAAACCTGTTTAAACTAACTG